GCTGGGGGAGAGAGAGTATGCGATTTCGCCTGCACACCATTGAAAGGTAGACAACGAGATGGCCAATAATTCATTATTGAGTGTCTGTCGGATGATGTTTGGGCACACCTATCTGACATATTTGCACGATATATAGAGAGGAAAACCCGATTTTCATACAACATGCTTCATGATTTGTACTTGTTGTTTTGGCCTTCTTCCATTCTTTGTCGATCATTTGCTTTTATTCAAGTGCAAACATCGAATTTGCATCGAAATTATCTGCAATTTCGTCTCATTATTATTCAATCATTGCAATATATTGAGTTTTGTCTGCTTCGACTGTCTGCACTATTCATTCAACGGAGCTGCATTTGTGTCAGTGTGATGCTTTCAATTTTCAATTGAATTGATGCAGTGCGACCACAAAGTTTACTATTTAGTTCGTTTGTCCTTTTTTGCGCCTCGTTTTGATCACCTTTTTTATGAGTTACTTTGATCTTAAGCAACAACAAGAGTCAACAGTGTGGATGTGCGTGGATGGATATCATCTTCTATAAAATAGGATAACAAAGTGGTCGCTGGTCGTCTCACGCGATAAATGTGCCGCGAGTGAATTCAACGAATGTCATTCAAGTGCCGGTTGCCGGGGTGAATTAGATCAACGAAATGAATGGCTGTAAAATGGAAAGCACACAGCAGAAAGCGAACACACAAGAATATATATCGAATAATTACTATCGAAGAAGTGAAAGACCAACAGCTCACTTATTTAATGGAAAATAGAATTGTACGTGGAGCCATTTTTACTTGGTGTGTTCGATGCGTGCCGATTCTCAATTAAGTTCCATTCTCTCAATTGATTTCAAAACAGACGCTTATAATTATTTTATTACGTTCAATTAGAATTACACCATCTCTTTTTGCTATTGCGAGCCGGTATACACTGTAAATTGATTCTTTTCGTCAACACACTGTCCATCGCTATCTCATTAGCCATTACAAATCGCTTGTTGTTGTTCACAGTTTCGATGCGTTGTTAATTTCTTTGTCAGAAGACAGACACTTACGCTCTCTCTTACTCTTGCTCTCTCTGGCTCTTGAGCATCGAGTGATTGCGTCCACTCATTGAAATTTCAAATTACATTTCACACTATTTTCGGTACATAAACAGGCCATTCATTTGCAATGTGAGCAATTGAGAGACAGTGAGTGAGTGTACCACCTGCTGTATAACAAAAATCATTTGTGTACGTGAATGGTTATTTCTCCTCCTGTGCGCCGCATTCTCATCAAAATATATGTAAAATGATTGCTCATTCTCATTTTGAACCCCTTTGAATTTGCCGCTCGATTGCATTTGGCAAATATCTCCTTATCAGATTGACATTTGCTGCTCGTAGAAATGTGCATCGTACACGTAACAGATGCATAGAAATTTTAATTACAGTTCATTTTTTTTAATGACCACCGCTGATTCTCTTGGTTAATAATAATCATCAACGCTGCTACAACTGATGCCCAGCTCATTTGAAATCACTATAAACTGATTCAACGGCAATCTTGCAATCTTGATGTGCACGTTTCCCATTGCGTTCTGCGTCATTGTCAAAGGTATTTATTGTGCTAAAAAGTATTCCTCGCATTTTCTAGCGGCAAATTACAAACGTCAAAATTATGGCAATCGTTTTATTTTGATGGTAATTGTGATGACACTTATTAGTTTTAACATCATGTTTTGTATTCATAATACATTCACTCGTTTCCATCTTACGTTCGCATCGCAACCAAAAATCCAAACGTTATATCTTCTAAACTGCTGTAGAATCTCCGGCAATAAGTTTAATGTGCAGCCTGAGAGTGAGAATTTATTGTTGTGCTGAGACACTCAGATGACATCGAAAAAACGAAATGAAAAATATAATAATGTGAGTGCAGTGAACAGAATTACATTTTGATGATATCCTTGTCAGATATGCGATGTTGCAGCACATACAGCTTTTGTTCGCATACAAACATAGCGTAATCGCTTTGTCTTTCCCTGTGCATGCGGAATGTAGGGAGGAAATGTGTATGCTCTAATTTTTTTTATTTCAAAGTAGAACGATGACAATGAAACGCAATTTCATTTCACATTTTAAAAGACATAAGTCAACATCAGACGAAATGCAATGCCCCAAATGGAAATAATGAATTATAACAATTTTGGGTCGTGAACATTGTGCGTTTCATATTGTTTTTCAAGACACAAACATAAAACTGACGGCAAATGCATTGAAAATGAAATAAATTCCTTAACTTTAACACCGTTGCGCGAATGAATGTCATTCCTTGGTGGGTAGATACAATGCAGCATTTTATACTTCCAAAAATTATTATGAAATAATTTTCATTTTGGTGATATTTCATCTGGTTTTACTTCTCTATTATCTATCTATCTCTATCTCTTTGGCCAAAAGTTCCAGAGCATTCACAGTTGCAACGTAAATACGTGACAAATGTGTGTAATCGCATTTCTTTAAAGCATGCACACGAACTTATGAAATGTCACAAACTTTAAGAAGTTACACTTCACATAATATGGCATTTGGCATTGTATCTACCATTTTTGATATAAAATTCATGCGAATGTTCGTTTGTCATCGAGTGGAGTGGCTCTGTTTTGTGTGCATTTGTCGGTGTTGTGAATGCGATCATCAAGTTTATACTATTCGTTTATCTCAAACTTTAATTACATTCCGCAGATGATTTTATTGTGCGATTTTTAGTTCGTTCATTTTAAAACTCAACTTTATGGTGGCCATTTTCAACGTTGCATAGTTGGATGTAAGCATGAACGCGTCTGCACATTAAATCCTATGCGAGCAATTGTTTATGGTGGAAAAAAAAGATGAACGAAATGCCAACGAAATAAGATTTATACTTTGCATCATTCGTATTTTTCATCATTAGCTGAACGAATTAATTTTATTTTGTGTCGATTGTTTTTGTTTCTTTGTTTTCGTTCTCGTTCTCGCGCCTTCAATCGTTCAAAATGCGCTCGGTTTTCAGATGCAATTTTGAAAGTCGGCAAATTTCTTGGTCCGTCCAAGATAAGGTGAAAAACAAAAATCATTTTATGCATAATGTTCGTGTAGCTGGCTACATAAATCAAATTGCAGCGAGTAAATATAAAAGCCATAAAACAAATCGCTGTACATTCATCATTTTTCCGCACTGCATCGATGAAGGCGTTCTTTTTTCTTATTCTCTTTCTATTTCGCTCTATCTTTTATGTCAATTCTGTTCTCTCTCTCTCTCTCTCTCTCTCTCTCTCTCTCTCTCTCTTCACAAAGAGCATTTCCCGTGCGGAAACATTTATACATATGAAGTGAGTGGCAAGAATGTTCGTTGTTCCGCCACAATGCCAAACGAGTGACATGCAATGAGCATGAAAATGCAGAAAATGTGTAAATCGGGATCCGCGATGTTGGAGAGCGGCAAAGAGAAAGTCGATTTGAAAAAAAAACCAGGACTTACTAATTGATTTTGCCAATGTTAATTGTAAACATCGCAAAAAGTTAGCACATATGAACCGGTGTTTACCTGGTGCATTAACCGCACGATTCCATATCGAATTGCAACAGCATACTTAACCGTCCGGATAATTTACGGCAAATTCTAATGCTTTAAACAAAATCTGAATTAAATCACAGCATAATTAGGAGCTATTACTTTATGTAATTACAATCATAGAGGTTTAATGTGCAATATGCAAGGCTTCAAATGGCAAAAAAGGGCATAGCACTTTTTAAACGTTACTATTTTACTTTGCCAAGCGGTAATGGTATGAGATCACTTAACCGGTCAAATATAATTCGCATCAGACACGTCACACTCACACATGAATACCTTTCAATGATTAAACATAGGAGCCCATTTTGGTGGAGAACTTTTTTGAATGAAAAAAAAACAGCATTTGCTTCAAAGAATACAGCCGACGACCATGCGGTCACATAAAACTCGTTGAACTTCGCTTGCGAAGCCAATGAATAATTTCCATGTGTCTCGAATAGAAAAGATGGAGAAGGTGTAACGCGAAAGAGACGAGAAAAAAAGTCGACAATCATTTTGGAACCAATCCAATTTAACTGTGACCAGAAAGAAATTCTTGAATGATTTGTTGTTTGTTGAAGACAGAAAATCACTTTGTATTCTTTTATTTATAACTGCTATTCTTCGCAATGGTTTGATTATTACCAATTTTATTGATTGCTACAAATCATCCATATACACTGTCTTGTGCACAACTCTCGGCTTGCTCATTGGCAAATCAATCTATTTGTCCGTCCTTGAGCGAGTAAATTGATTATTTGCGACTCGAAATCGAATCGAGTGGGATTGCATAAGTTGAAACGAAACACCATGCGATGTTTTTACCTTTTCTTCTTCTCACCTTGAACCTCAGCCGACGACAGGCCATAATGCTCTTCAATTTTTGTTCAGCCACCATATAGTCTCGGGTTCTTTGTTTTGTATGTTTTTCCAATTTTTTTGTTCGCGTAATTTCTCGCAGTTGCTCGATAAATTCTTGAATCAAAGTTCTAATTGAAACGCCATTATCGTTCGAAATACCAACCATTTTTTTCTCATTGAAAATGGGAGGAAAAAAAGGCAAAGAAACACGAATAAACAAAGTCAATTATAGCTGGCAAAGAGGATAAATTGATTGAATCACTTATATCGAACTGAAAGATGTACAGTCGTGTATGTCTTGTTTATGTTTATGAATAACAATGGAATATTAAAACAAATTGCCTCCATTAAATGCATACCTCTACCGTTGCCAATGCTACGTTTACTTTGTATTTATGACTTTTCATCGGCTAATCCATCTTTTGAGGCAATTAAAATCGGTAATTTGAGATTGTTTATTAGAACATCACGTTTCAACCGGCGAACAAAGTTCGAACCTTTTTTCTCCATTTACTTTTTCAAATAATTCCAAATAAATTTAATTTTGTTTTGTCATCTCGTTTCAGATTGAATTGACAATTGAAATCAATAAAAAATTCAGAACGTAATAAAGATTGAAGAAAACAAAAGCAACAGAAAGAAAACACAAAACAAAACCTTAAAAATGAAGTCCTTACAGTCACTACAAGTGTATACAGTATTGTTTGTATTCACAAGCATAGTCATATCGATGGCCAGTGGACGTGTGGCATTTGAGAAATTAACCGATTTCGATTTCTCCGGCCAAACGTACTACAGTGTAAAGAATCTATCGTTGTACGAATGTCAAGGATGGTGTCGCGAAGAACAAGACTGTCAAGCTGCCGCCTTTAGTTTCGTGCTGAATCCACTGACACCCGCACAAGAGACATTATGTCAATTGCAAAACGATTCAAGCGCACACAATCCCAGCGCCGTACCACAACGATCGGCTAGCTTGTATTATATGGTCAAATTACAGGTATTTATTCCATTGAACGTGCTGATGTTTTTTTCTTTAAATGCATTTGAATTTGATGTAAGTATGAAAATATTACCTATGATTTAATTCCATTTTTTTTTTCATTCAGTTGCGAAGTGATAACATTTGCATGCGACCATGGGCATTTGAGCGTGTACCAAACAAAATTATTCGCGGTTCTGACAATGCATTGATTTACACCAGCACAAAAGAAGCTTGCTTATCGGCTTGTTTGAATGAGGTTTGTTTTCATACACCTATTCACATAATAATTTCAATAATAAAAATGTTTTTTTTTTTAGAAACGATTCGTGTGCCGTTCGGCTGAATATGATTATAACAATATGAAATGTGTACTTAGCGAAGCAGATCGTCGAACAACGGGTCAATTTGTGCAATTAGTTGATGCCCAAGGAACCGATTATTTTGAAAATTTGTGCTTAAAACCAACACAAGCATGTAAGAATACGCGTATCTTCCAAAATCCACGGATTGGTGTTGCCGATGAGAAAATTGCACAGTATGCCGGCTTACATTATTATACGGATAAAGAGTTGCAAGTTACATCGGAGCCTGCCTGTCGTTTGGCTTGTGAAATTGAATCGGAATTTTTGTGCCGTTCATACTTGTTCATGGGACAACCACAAGGCTCACAATACAATTGCCGTCTTTATCATTTGGATCACAAGACATTACCAGATGGACCATCAACTTATTTGAACGGTGAACGGCCATTGATCGATCACGGCGAACCAACTGGACAGTATAGTGAAAATTTCTGCGAAAGTATGTTTTCGACTATTTTTCTATTCGATTTTGCCATAAGGAAAACAATTTACTAACAATTTACAACATTGCAGAAACTTCAACAGCGAGCCCAATTTCAGATTTACCAATAAATGTTGATCCAGTCGAAGTCGATGTGAATTTAACCAATTTCACTCGATCTGATGCCAATTGCGATAAAACTGGAACTTGTTACGATGGTAAGATTATCATCAGTGTCGTTTTGATTTAGAAAATATTTGTTTTTGATAGACATAGAGATGGATATAGATATGTTGTGTTGGCACTTCCGTGTTGCCGACGGCCATGAAGTGAAAAAAAAAACAATGTTTTTTTCAACGAAATTATACACTTGTTAAATTGCTTGTATTTTTTGTTTTGCCATTTTGCAGTTGCTGTGCATTGCAAAGACACACGCATCGCTGTCCAAGTCCGTACGAATAAGCCATTCAATGGCAGAATCTATGCATTGGGCCGATCTGAAACGTGCAACATTGATGTCGTCAACTCCGATTCATTCCGATTAGATTTAACAATGGGTGGCCAAGATTGTAATACACAGAGTGTGGTAAGAACACACTTAGACCGCGTATGCACTGAACCTTTTTATATATATACTAATATCTGCTTACTGCTAATATTGTTTTGCTTGCTTTTTGCCCACATTGTTTTACACTCAATCGATAGTATTTAAATAAAATCATTGAAATGTTTTGTTTTTTCTGCTCGTCGGTTTTTTTTGTAGACCGGTGTCTATTCGAACACAGTTGTCTTGCAACACCACAGCGTTGTTATGACAAAGGCTGATAAAATCTACAAAGTTAAATGCACCTATGACATGAGCTCGAAAAATATTACCTTCGGAATGATGCCAATCCGGTACGAATCGCAATTGATGAAATCTATTTTTTATTTTTTTACGTTACGTCAATCATACTATTATTAACATAATCATTTGTTTTGAAACCATGTAGCGATCCTGAAATGATTCACATTAACTCATCGCCAGAAGCTCCACCGCCAAGAATTCGTATTTTGGACACACGTAGCCGTGAAGTTGAAACCGTTCGTATTGGCGATCGTCTTACATTCCGCATTGAAATTCCTGAAGACAGTATGTTTCAATTCGTTTTCATTTCGTTCGTGGTTTTTGCGGTTAAATGGCGAAACTAATTTTGTTAATATCTTTCTAATTTTTCACAGCACCATATGGTATTTTTGCTCGTTCATGCGTCGCAATGGCCAAGGATTCAAAGAGTACATTCCAAATTATCGATGACGAAGGCTGTCCAGTTGATCCGACAATTTTCCCTGGTTTTACACCCGAAGCGAATGCACTGCAATCGGTTTATGAAGCTTTCCGTTTCACCGAAAGTTATGGCGTTATCTTCCAATGTAATGTAAAATACTGTTTGGGACCATGTGAACCGGCCGTTTGTGAATGGGGACGTGACTCGCTTGAATCATGGGGAAGAAAACGTCGTTCAATTGCAAGGTAAGTCCATTTAACCTTATATTTCTGTTTCTTATCGATTACTAATGCCGTCCTAATGTTTTTCATCTTACAGCAATGAAACACAAGAAAATGAAGAAGAAACAAATATTTCGCAAGAGATCTTAGTGTTGGACTTTGGTGATGAAAAGAGCGAATTTTTGCGAAGTGGCGGTGAATCGGATTTCAACGGAGGTACTTCAATATAATCTGATTATATTTTATAGCAATTTATATGGAAACCATTTGTTTTTTTTATTTCGTTCGATCGCGTAGATAAAACCGTTACAATAATCGAGCCATGCCCAACAAAGACGTCCGTATTTGCGTTAGCTGTAACATGTGCCTTGATGATTTTAGTATACCTATCAACAATATTCTGCTATTTCATGAAAAAATGGATGCAACCACATAAACTGATGGCTTAAAGCTACAAATAAACACCTAGACGAACTATTTAACTGCTAAAACATAAATACATTGAGTAATAGGCTTACTAGTAAAGTATAAATTTGATCAATTGAGCACAAGCATTTTGGTGTTTTATGATTTAACACGAATTTGCATTTTAAATGGAACAAAATATGATTTAATTCTTTTTTTATTACATTAGCTTATATTGGTCGAGAAAAAACCGATAAATTCTAACTGCAAAGTAGATACGGATTGATACCTCCGTCCGATCTATTTAAAACACTGACAGCTAGCCTACTGATAGACTAGGTTATTTTGTCTGCTCTTTTAAATGAAAACTTAGCATTAGAGTTAGATTTAAATGATAAAAAACAACACAAACAACTGCTAATGCAAAACATAAGTATTTATATTTCTTTGAAAACAGTAACAATTATTTAAAAGAGAACTAGCTTAGCAACAATGTGGCATTACACAAGAACAAACACTAAATTCAAAGAGCAATACCACCATGCGCAGTTCGCACACACCTGCAGAGACAAACACTCAACGCATTTATTTTATATGAATTCATGCTACTCACAATTCACGAGCACACTTTTCTCCCAAACCGCGCCTGATTAAATGATTGAAAAAGAAATTGTTTTAAATTTATGTTCATCATCAATCGATTCATGCATTTCATTTTATTTATTTATTCATTACATTTTTTATCGCGAGAATATTTTGATCAATTTTTTTCTTTTTCTTCCAAACATAACTCCCTTCCAAAGGTGCTTAAATAATTTTTCTTTTGAATTGTTTGTTCTTTTTTTATTAAATTGAAATTTAACATTCGAACGAGAAATATATAAATCTTAATCGCAAAGTCGCTCTTAATCATTTTTAGAAAAATTCTATTTATTTATTTGAATTGGCAAAACTAATTTTTCCCATTTAAAAAAAAAACATTTCTAGCATTTAAGTAAGACAAGATGGAAAAAAATGAGATGGAATACGTAGTGATGAAATCATTTTTTGTACATATATGAAAGAAATACGAAAAATCTCACATTGAATTAAAACACAAAAAATACTGAATGATTTTATACGCAGAATGTTAAGTACTTTATTGATATAATGATGAAGAATTTAATAAAAATAAAAATATGTAATTGAAAAAAAAAAACAGATCGATTTGGGTTTTTGTTTTATTTTATTTGCCAATCTCTACCTATAAAATAAAAAGTCTTACAGGAGTGAGACGAACTTTTCCGCACGGTGGTAGTTGCCTATTTTATTAATTCGATTTCAAGCGGCGGAAAGTTCGAGACCAAAAAATGTGTTCGGCATCGAAATATTCTTTAATTTAAAGCAGAAGTACTCGCAAGAGATTTTTCACACTTTCATGGTGAACTCATTTGTATGACATTTGAAAGTATTCTATTTTCTAACAAAACACTATAAAAAAATGTTTGAACATTATTTTTGAAGCACTTTTCACACAAAAGTCACAAAAAATTTGTATTTTTGTATGGGAATCATGCCTGTATGGTATCGTAAGGACGTAAAACTTTGCACAGGATATTTTTTTTCACAAAAAAATAAAATTCGGAGAGTTTTGAGAAATTTCAACGAAAATTAAGGTTACCTCCCACACAAAAATTGAAAATTAATTAAAATTTTCAGAACGTTATTATTTTGTGTAAAAATTAGTCCGTGCAAAGTTTCACGTCATTAAGATAGCATACAGGCATGGCTCCCATACAAAAATTCAATTTTTTTGTGATTTTTTCAAGGAAACTGTATCAAAAATTGATTGTATCTCAAAACTAACGTCGGATTCGGTTTTCTCGTGCCAAAAAATAGCCATCCAACGAATTATTTTTGTACGAAAAGATGAACATTCATCAGTGGCCGCCGTTCTTCGTTGTCATCGTCACTGCCGTCGTCGCCATGGCGAAATAATGATTGTGTGGCAAATGCGTTTGGTGGCATTTCCAACAACGACGTCCTTTTCTCGAATTACTTTTTGTTAAAAATAAAATAAAAAAATAAATACTTTTATCTGACTTTTAATTTTTATGCTTTTTTGAGGGGCTCAAATGAAATACGTCTCTTTGCCTGATCGAGATGAATGAGTATTGTCATTTGTCTACTGACATTTCCAACAACATGAAGTTGTTACCGAAATATGGTTTTGCAGACAACTTCACATGGCTCCCTGAAATAATTTATACCGAAATAATTTATTCGAAAATATTTATTTGGATTTTGTATGGAACTATAAATTATTTCGATTTTCTTATGCTATGTTTTATTTCGAATAAATTATTTCGTTTAAATCCGAATTAATATATTAAATATATTATTTCTATAAATTATTTCGATTTTTTGAATAAATAAATTCATATGAAATATATTCGGTTAGATCCGCAATTATTTATTTTAATTATAAAAAAACGAATTTGTTGGCGAAAAAAGTCACACCTTTATCAAATAATTTCTTATTTTCTTAATTATAAATACTATTCCATAATGTGCAAAAAAAACGATCATTTCATAATCTTTGTCAAACAGTTTTGTAAATTTATCACTGAGGGTGATCTCAGCTTTCGTCATATTTATTTAAATGTAGCCATACGAAATGTGTTGGTTTGAGCAACTACTTTGCCACAGCAAGGACAGTGTGCTTTCTATTTTTCTACTATTAATTTTCTCTTTTTTTGTTGTACAATACTTCACTTTTGAACAAATCACAATGTCGAAACAAGGCATAAGAATTATATCACAAGGTTGGGAAAGGCAGGAAATACATGTTCCATCGGGAACCTTTGGTTGATCGCAGCCATTTTCATCGATTTGTTCTCTGTGTGTCTCATTGGAATCATTTTGATCAATAGTATCATTTTGAATGTATCTTATCCCTTTGTTGATGTAGAGAATTCGATCCAAAAATTGATCTGGAGACAATCGACCCTCTTTCAGCAGCGTTGAACTCGCTCGGATTTTGTCAGCTCGGTCCTAAGTATTTAAGAAAATTTAAATTTTATTTCAAACTTGATTTTTTTCAAAATATTGCAGAAAATGATTAAAATCCTTCTTTTATTTGCAGCCGACCAAACCACCACTTTCATCAAAATTAAGAAATTCGGTAGATTTCATGAATTCTTGGTTACGAATGGATACGAGAAACCAAACAAAACTACCCTTTTTATGGCAATATTCTCCAAGTGCTCTGTTGTAGCCTTCTGCTGCAGAAGTTGTCCTTGTTTCGTTACCAAAAACAGAGAAATTAATGGCACCTTCCTTGACAATCCACTGCCGATAATAATAAGTTATAAATTCATTCAGACCGGTATTATTCACCTCGCTGTTGGCATGTTGTTTTAGATTTTCAAATGTTGGATTAATCATAGTTCCTGGTAAAAGTGCGAGATATATCAATTTATAATAGATTTTTTTGGCCATTTCGTTTCTTTGCAAAAAATCCATTAAACCGTTAATTTCCATAGCTTTTTTTCGCATTGCCTGAGCTTGATGAAAATGGCAGGTAGAAAAATCGGAAAATGGATATTTGGTTTTGAGTGCATTACGCATAGCAAGCTCGAAATCAGTTATAAATAACTTAGTGCCGTTCATATCGAAAACTTTTGCATTTATAAACTAAAAAACTGCTTCGTACGACTTTTGAGTTTTTCGGTTCATCAGTACGAATATAGCTAGAAATACCTTAATGTGATAACTTATAAAATATTGAAATTAAAATATAGCTATTGTAATATAACCGTTTTTTAACTAACTTTTTCTAAATAAACAGGATAAATAATCAACAACTGATTGAATGATCTAATAGGAACCACGTCAAAGGTCCCATCCATCAGAATAATTCGTTGTCCAACAGGTATTCTTGACGAATATGTTTCAAACATCCTCCCGTGCAAACTTTTGGGAAATATCATCGCAATTCAATGGGTTTTTCGGCAAACACAAACAACGAATTATTGTACCTCGGTGTAATTAGAAAGTTCAGAATAGAAAATATCTCGAACTGATTGTTTTTTCATCAATTAAAGTTGATATGTCACTGCAATTTTGTTTCATGATCATGTTTTGAATACTTTATTGGTTGTACACATAATTTATCGGATCTCAAGTGGACTCGGCTATTACATAGTTGGCACTTAAATGATGGCGTGTTTTGTATCGAAATTGTATTTTGGAATAATTTATACCAATTTGATTCGCAGCTAAAATCGCTAGCTACACTTTTTTCATTTGAGCTGTTTGAGCTGGTGTCGGTCATTTCAATGTTACACTAATGAAACTAACGCTACTTTCGTCATATAACTAAATGCTCTGTATAAAATCTAGTTTTTTCTCATGCACACTCACACATATTCAGCATCAACAAAATCATACAACACTTTCGATCAAGGGCAAACTACTATAATATTGCAGTTCATTTAGTTCATGAAAAATTCGATTCAATTCCATTTAGTTCACGTCAATACGTTTTTTCATTTTTTAATGTTGGTACCGCAGTGTTGAGTGAACAGATGATCTTTTGACGTTCGCAAAATAATAGCACAACTGAAAACGAAAATGGGTGACGCTGTTTGGTAAGTTGATTTGTAATTTATCATTTTAGAATGTTTTAAAAAAGAAAAAAAATTATAAAAATATTGTTTTAGGGCTAAACTTCGATATTGTCCGTATTGGCCGGGGGTTTTGGTGGAGACTCCAACAAATCTCAAGCAACCGGCAAACAAGTTTTGTGTATATTTTTTCGGAACTCAAAATTAGTAAGTCGCACAAGAAACTAAAATATTTGCTATTTCTATTCACAATCTAAAACAATTTCAGTGGCTTCGTTGACTTAGAATTTGCACATAGTTATTTGGAGCATAAAGCGAAATACGTAAAAAAAGGACGCGGAAAAAATTTCAATCTCGCTGTGGAACAATGTGACAGATTTATCGCTGATCCAACTGTAATAATAATATTCATATTGTGTTTTTCTTTTTAACATTTGAAATTATTAAATTTTAACTTTGTGTTGACAGAGCATACAACTGCGTGATAAATGTGTAAAAATTGCCAAGGAATTCAATGTCAAGAAAGAGCTTGAAAATGATGATGAATGGTATGCCACAGAAACAGTGCAACAAACTTCGACGTGCAGTGAATGCGGAGAGAAAGATGCTTACCGTCTACACATTGAAGCATGTCATCGGCAAGAAATTGAAGGAATGCAAAATAAAATAGATGAATTGACGGAAGAACGAAAGATGTTGCTTGCCAAAGTAAAACAATTAGAACGTGAAAAAGGAGAGTACGTTGTTGAAAATATCATTGGACACAAGAAAGACAAAGGCGGATACAAATTTCTCGTGAGTTGGAAAGGCTACGATAGTTCGGAAGATTCGTGGGTTTCAAAAAATGATTTGCATTGTCCAACAATTTTGAAAAAGTATTTGAAGTCCAATAATTTATAATAGTGTATATTTTTTTTTGTGGATGCAGTGTAATTTTCATATTTTCTTCTGTTTTGTACATTTCGATGACATTCATTCCAAGAACAAATAAATATTGGCAAAACATTTAGTGACGTTTTCGTTTTTATTGCAACGTAAGCAGTCTTCTTGGGTGGTCTTATGTTCAACATTAAGCATAACATTGTCGACATTCGGCGAACACACAAATTGAACAACTTTAACAGTAAGATTTCACACAGCCTACTGAAACTACTTGTTACGTGAAGCATTGGATTACGATATTCTGTCACGATATTCTGTGCATAACGGTATCGAATACACATCCCATCATAATTTCTACATTTGATCACGCGACACAAAATAAAATAGACGTTTAGTTTTCAACTTGGAAATGCAAAATTGAAGTCACTGAGGACAATTACATATTTTGGACAATTCTTGAAGAAAGTCTACGAACAAAGTTGCCGTCGCATATTAAAAACATATTCAGGTG